CCCCCGCCCCCCCCCCCGCCCCCCCCCCCCAGCACACAGATTCACAGAGCTTTGTCAAATGAAGGAGAAAGCTGTGTTGGGACTGTTTAGGCAAAGATCCAGGTTCATCCTGACATCTAACAGGAAGAGGGGTGGGATGTATCTAAGTGTGTGTGTGTGAGTGCACTCATACACACATGTTTGTGCCTAGGCGTATTTGTGTGCGGTTAGGGTGGAGTAAGGAGTAGATAAAATGATGCTTGGCCAGGGACAGAATTAAGTCTGCTGTGGGGTGGGGGGTGCAGGAAAAGTTCTGGCGGGCTCATGAGAAAGGCAGTCTGGCTGCTGGAAGCTTTGATGGTGATGGTGAAGCGTAGGAAAACAGCTACAGACCTGGGCTGTGGAGGATAGGATGAGAAAGGAAGGGCCCCGAGATGCTCCAGATGAAAACTGGGAAAGATTTCTTCCTTGGTAATCCAAAAAGAAAATGCATGCGAAAGATGGCCTTCTGCGTGGGAATGGCTCTCGGAAAGAAAGAGTTGGTAGTTTTCTCCGTGGTTGGAGTTGAATATAGAGTTGGAAAAAGCTGCAACTACTGTGGATTTGCTGGCTGGCCTTGAGAAAGTCTCTCCCGCCCGCTCCCCCTTCTCTCTCAGCCTTTCTTCTGCATCTCTGCCCAGAAAGTGGTTCGTGTGGGTGGGTGGAAATTAAAAAAAAAGAAAAAGAAAAATCAAAAGTTGCTTCAGTGGTGTCTTAGTTCAAAGGAGACATGTGGAAAATTCAGCCTTGTATTGGGGGTGGGAATTGGGACAGCTAAGAATGTCACCGCTGCTAGGCTTATGGTCGACATACGGGGCTGGTTCACAAAACAAAATGGCCTAATGTGTTGTGTGAACCAACCAGGCTGTGTTGTCACAACATGCTGAACCACAAAGCAGACATCCACATTTTAGTGCAGCTTGCAAGTGTGGACTGAGCTCATGTAGCTAGTTTATGGTTTGGAGTGTCTTGCCAACCCATTAAATAGGGTGGGTGAAGTAAAATGTGCTAACTTGAGGTACGCATGACGGGCAACACTCAGCCTTATAGTGGCAATACCACTATATTCTATATACTGTCTGTTCCTCCACTTCTAAGAAACTTGCCTAGTGAAAAATTAAGAGGATCCCCTGCTGGAGCAGAAGACATCTTCAGGTAGCCTAGGGTTCTGTTTTCCAAACCTGGTGAGATGCCTCCAAAAAATTCACAGGTAGGTAGTGAAGGCTAAGAGCTTTCCCCTCCTCCTTGTTCTTCCTGGGCAATCCAAATTAAAAGCCACTGATAGATGTATCATTGTGTGAATTTTTCTGTTGCCCCCCCTTCCACAAGCTGTATGAATGAGGGACCATCTCTGTGTCTTGTGGCAGCCTTCTTTAATTGATGTGTGATGTAAATAACTCCTCCCTTTTCTCTGTCCTGCATCTGCTATCAATTAACCGCACTAGGTGACCCTGAGTTCCAGTATCATGAGACAGGAAGGAAACATTTCTCTTACGCACCATGCATAATTTTATAAATCTCCACATCTCCTCAGTCCTCCTCTTCTTTGCACCACCACCACCACCTGGAAAACCAAGAAAGTGTTATATTTTGAAGAACTGCTCAGATAGGCTGAGGTATTTTCTCTTGCATCTGGGAAGACTTGGCCTCACAATAAGCATCCATAGGGGAAATTGTGCAAAATGGGAAATCAAAAAGGAGACTTCTTGAAGCTTCTTAGGACTCTTTCTTAGGGCTCCTGCCGTGGTCAAAAGAAGCTCCAGATCTTTTCTAGTTCCTCTACGCAAGTTGCTACCTGTCTCCGTGGCTCAGTTTCCCCACTTGCCATGGGCACACCCATTTTGTCTCTCTTTGCTTGAAAGTATTCGCTGTTTTGTCATGGCTGAGGATGCAGCTCTGGTGGATCCATGCTTTATTGTTCATGTACTGGCAGATCTCTTGAGCATCAGGTTGGGTGTCCTTAATGCCCTGAGCTTGTTCGGCAAAAGTAGCAGGCAAGGTAGCTGCTCTGAGCAGAAGGTTGGCCTGGCTGGGTCTTCAGAATAGTAACTGGTTTTCTTCCCAACTGGAATGACCTGTCCACTTTTAAGAATCTCCCTTGCTTTTCTAAGGGCCTTTCTCAGGGCATAAGCGGGTACACATATTGTGAATATGTGTGCTTTTTTCCCCCTCCCATTGACAGTTTCAGAATCTTGCCTTGCCACAGAAGTTTTAAAATAGTGTGGCATGTAGCCATGATGATGAATGTGGTGATTTGTGGTACAAGGCTCTGGGCAGTATTTAGCAAACATGCATGTACAAGCAGAATCCCATCAACTCCATTGTAAAAAAATGATTGTCTTTTGCGGAGATGGACTTTTAAATGTGCCCTCTCTAGATGTCAGCCACAACAACAACAGTATAATGAAGTGTTGCAGGCACTGAAGGGGTGGAGTTTGCCACTTCTCGCCAGTGAACTAATGAGCAATATCCAGTGGGTGCCCATGACAGTTGTGTAGCTGGACTTCATATGATAATAAAAAATGGCAACAAATGCACTAAACCTGAAAATGAAGGAATAAGTGTTCCCAAGTATTGCAGTTTAGAAAGTAGAATCTTTCCAATCAATAGGAGCAACTTGGGTGAGAGAAGTACAAATCAAATAGGAAACAAATCTGTGTTGTAGAAAAACATGTCATCTAACAAAGCTTAAGAATTTGGGTACATATCATGGGTCTGTTAACTATCTTTTGGGGTTCTTTACTGACCCTACAAATTTATTCATGCAATTCAACTTAGTTACTGGATTTGCACACCACCCTGGACCATAAACTAACCAATGGCCTAGGTTCCCACAGCACCCTAAGCTATAAAGTATTAAACAAGGTCACCATATAGTGTGAGTAGAGCTGCTGTGTTTGTAACTGAACCCGATTAAGCACATTGTGCAGAGACAACCATGTCTGTTGGATTCCGGCACACACATATTTTCCCTATCTTTGTTTCCATGTTTGGAATGAAACATGATGACATAATAAGCATGAAATTACACTCGTGTAGATACACATCGTATGTGTCTTATGTGGTGTATTTAGAAGGTGTAGGATAGAAGGAGGAAGGTGCTTGGTGGAGCTCAACTTTTCTTTTGACCAGAAATACATTGGAGAATATGCCATTGGCTGCTATGAGTCTATAGAAAGAGCTAATGCAGCAGGCTGTTTTATGATATACACATTGACCATTTTACCATGAAGACCAGAAAGCTTTGCTATTACAACCTTGTGCAGTCTTGGGGTGTGTTTGTGTATGTGTATGTATTTGGTTGCAACTGTAATTTTAAAGTTTAGGAAACCAGACTTTTTAAAGGAGACAAAATTGTGTCTTACATATAACTCTGTCACAGTTTTAAAGGTTTGGATTTTGAAGAAAGAGCAAATTAAGATCGTAACTGTAGAAGAGGGCAGCATTGGTGAGTTGGGTTCACACAATGTACTAAAGCCCAAATTAGGAAAATTGTAACTAACTGTATTTTGGTATAACAAGCAATGTCCAAACTAGACATTGCTAGATAAACTAGAGGGTGAGCTGAGATGATGGATAGATTCTCATAGGACACTGAACCATGATTCCCCAACACCATCCAATCCCATATTCACCTAAATCTGACATGCGACTGCTAGTGATATTGTGGGTTTCCTGAACCTACCAGCAGCCATGGTATGTTTGGGAAGGGGGTCTCATCCCACCTACAGGATTATTGCTTTTAGTAGCGGCCCTACAAAGGTGTTGTACACTAAAGAGATTCAGTTTTCACCTGAAATGTAAAATATTTCTAGCCTATCTGGAGGTGTGCAATGTTTGCTCATAGGACATGAAGTTAGACCAAGGTGGAACATCAATGCAGTTAGTTCAGTATTACTAACACAGGCTGGCAGCCCTCTCTTTCCCATCTCTTCCTGGAGATGCCTGAAATTGAACCTGGTACCCTTCAGCATGCAGTGCAGGCACTCTGCTGCTGATCTGTGCATGCTACTGAGAATAAGGAGAACACAAAAGTCCATTTTCCTTCTCTCTGAGGATGATAGCAACATGCACAAAGCTGTGGGAGTGGAAACACCACAAAGGGGTAACCTGTCAGATGCTTTCATCACAGCACACTTCTACAGGAAAGAACCATTCTTTCATCCTAAGATAACTGGGGCTCAGCCTTTTGTTGAATAATTATGTCCCAATTGGGTGGGGGCTCTAATTGGCATCTCCAGAGCTTTTCCTTGCTGCCCATGGGTTGGGTTAAAAAAGCTGGCAATCCTTTATTTTTTACAGTATTTAAAAGCGGGGGGGGGGGAACCTTTCCTGCTTCTTCTGGATAGGGAGATAAATTAGAACGTATCCCATCTGTGATGTTGGTCACCAAGACCTTGTATTTTTTGCTTCTCACCTGGATCTTTGGCCAGGTTATTTCTTAGTAGAATAAGCAGAAGCAGCAGCAGCTGTGTTGAGGGTGCTGACCCAGCTTAAAGGAAATCCTGGCCTTGCTAGTAATTAAGGGCAACTGCTTTGCAATTTGCCTTCTCGCTCTCTGTCTCATTTATGTGCTTGCTGATGACCATAAAATGTGTTCCCTTATACCAGCCCTTGCCACCTTAGTCCCATCCAGAGCTGCTGAGATTGCTACTTCCCAAATTTCCAACAAGTATGGCTAAAGGCCTTGCAGACTGGGAATTGTAGGAACTGTAGTCCCACATCCAGAGGATTACAGTTAATCATAACTCCTAAACTTCCGCTTATGTCATCTGCTCAATACTACAAACCAGAGAGCTTCCAATGTTCTTCCTAGTGGGATTCTCTCTCCTCTCCTCTCTCCTCTGAAACGTTGGTCTGATGTTCATGCTATGTACAAGTTAGCTTTTGTCTACCACTTTTATTTATAAATTTTACATTGAAAAATGTAGGTATGGGGTAGCCATCGCTTTGGGTGGGTCTAGTTACATTGCTAGAAATGAAGCAGTATTACTTTGTAAGATCCTGGTATGATGCATATTCAAATGTACCTTTGATCCTGATCTTAGCTGGACATACGCTTTCACACTGAGAAAAGAACACACTATACTACCTGACTTTGCACCAACTCATAAGTGTAATTCCACCACTAGTGGTGGACAGGAACAAATCTTTATTTACATGCTCCTACACTCTCCGCCAACTTAAAAAAAATAAATAAAAAGCTAGCTTCACATTGGAAGTTCTGGGTAACTTTGCTTTTTTAAAAATTTCCTTTTGATTATTTCCGGAAAGCTACATGCAGCTTTGCAAAATCTCCACTAGGAGGTATTTTTTATTTAAGAAAAAATACTTATCAATGCTGTTGGCTCCTGTTTCTCTTTATGCATGTGGTGCCACGGGAGTGAAAACAGCCTCTTGAACACTCTACATATCTGGTGATTGATAGGCTGGGGGGCTGGAGGCGAAGGGAAGGATGAGGGGGTTTGGGCCACCCACATGGATCAAAGGAGCCGGGTAGAGAGCAACATAGGTGAGGGTTTGCGATGGGCAAGTAATGATCATGCGTGTCTCTGGGATGAGGGGAGTAAATAACTCCCTGGGTTTGGAAGAAGAGGTAGGCGAGGTGACAAAGTCTGTGGCTGGACCTGGTACTGATTGTCACAGCTGGCAAGGTGATGCCGAGCACGAGTGCCCTATCTTGCCCAGCTCAGTGCATTCCATTCCACTGTTTAAATAATATCTAGCTTTACTAGGTAGACTTTTTTAATGCTGAAAATTAATTTCCGGCGCTATTTTAATTTTGCTGTATTTAATTTGATGCTTGCTTTAATTAACTGCTGGGTAAACCTTCTCCCAAGCTACTCTCAGATGCTCATGATTGCTGGAGTGATGGGCTGGAGGCTGCCCGCCTTGGTTGGTTGAGGAAGGAATGGATGGAGAGAAGCCGCTTGGCTTCTGGTATTCCTCTTGTGCTTCAACCCTGCCTGCACCCACAGGGTGTGGAAGGCCTTTTGGTGATGCTTGGAAGCCTTGGGAGGATCAGGATGCGGAGATGTTTAAAGGAGTGGTTCTTCCTCCCAGGTACAGCTCTCCTCTCCAACCTGGCTAATTAAACTACCTCACCTCTCAGACAAGGCCTGACATCTTTGAATCCATACAAAACATTATGCCTCTTTGCCAGGCCTTGCTGTAAAGCGGGGAAAAAAGGGAGCCCAGTACTTTCTGTTAAGCTGTGGGTTATTTTATGCTGTGGTGACTCTGAGCATTTAAAAACTTAACTGTCCTGGAGGTCAATTTAACTCAAGGACGAACTTTCTGTGGCTGAGTGATACGCTTGGTCTTTGAGTGATGCTCTGAAAACCACAGTCCAGAAAGGCCAGGGAGGGGAAAGTGGCTGAAACTGGAACAAACAACAATCAGTTTGATTACTGTAGTTAAGAAGCAACTCTCAAGAGGGGACAGGGGACTCTGAGGCTGCACCCAATGCTCTATGGGGGCGCAAACAACTTACGCTGTTCATCCCTCCTCTTTATCCAGTTCTCTCTTGTGTTTTAAAATTGTGGTGCTGCTTCTCCCCTACTTTAGATCTTATAACCCAGAGTTCCTGAACTTGGTACCCACCAGATGTCCTGGGACACACCGTTCAGAACTGGGAATTATATTGGGACTACCTTGGGAGATACCACCTTGGACAAGATGGTGACAGCCCCATCTCACTGCCAGACGTCCTCCATGCCACTTGATCTGGGGAATAAATGAAGCCACAGCAGTCAAAGGCATTCAGCTACTGTTGGAGGCTGACAGTATGTACAGTGTGGTATTCCCATGTTTACTGCAGCAACCTAAGCAACGTGTGATGAAGTTCACACATGTCTTGAGAAGTAGGCTTTTCTTTTACACTTATTCCCTAGGTACAGTGATGGCAGCGAATACTACTTTTAAATAATTAAAATGTGAATTTGGGGCTGAGTTTTTCCAGCTTCTTTTTTAAACTGAAAAACACGATACGCTTTTTTTTTTTTTTCTTTACCACATCCTCTCTGTTTTGCCATGCTGTGCTGGTTTCTTATTAACCTCTGAACGAGTTCCCCCTTTTCTGTAGAGAAACTGCCTTACAACAGCTTGCCCGTGACTTGCACATGCGGTGTCAGCAAGGTATTCAGGAAATTAATAGGAAAGGAAATGGTTTATCCTTTATTCCTTAAGCAGATTTTGGTTTTATTTTAGTGTGTATGGGGCAAGGGAGAGAAGTTCGGACAAAGGTCTAACCCCTACATCTAGGTTAAGAAAAGGCTATGGCTGTGTGCACGTTATGTGCTGTGCCTAAACAAGCCATGTTATGGTTCGATGCAATGGCTGGGCTAACCCAACGTGCTAAGGCAGTGGATTCCTACAAGACAATGAAGCACAAACTACCCAACTCCTTTTGGACTTGACATCACATGCTGTGCAAAAACCATCCCCAATGAGATGAGAGACATAAATATACCGTTTTTAAAATATTAGAAACAATATGAACCATTTGCATTTATTATTTCTTGGTAGCGTGAAGAGGTCATCTCCACCTAGTGAAGATAGAGGGAACTCATTTGGGATCTACTTCAGACAACCTTCCCACAGGAGTTAAGATGTGCTGGAGCCATGGTTTACGAGCCAGTTAATGGCCATTAATTTGCAGTGCTGGACAGCTTGATGCAGCAGGTAGATGATAGAAAGTGGCGTATGTGTGTCTCTCTCTGTTTGTGTGTGTAATCTTCCAGGGGAAAGAGGATTGGGAATGGGAGCTGGCAGCGGGAGAGATGGTACTAGGGAAATGCAGAAGGGGCTGCTTGAGGAAGATGGGGAAAATTGTGCTTAAAAAGGCTTCAGCTTACCTTCCAGGAGCATCTGAATGTTCACTGAGGTTTTCTGGTCAGGATAATTGATCACTGGGCGTTGTTGAAACAAAATTGAGGTAGCTCAGTTATGCTGAGAGAAGTTGAACTGGACATATATCAGCAGATCCAATTCCACACTTCACTCTTGACCTGTTTCCTGGGTTTGAATTCTCTCTTTCTTCAGCCCTGGAGGTCAGAGTGGAAAGAGATGGGACCAGGCAGACCACACAATGCAAAGCATCATTGAACAAATCCAGGGGGGTA